GCAAGGAAAGATACATCTCGCTGGCTTCATGTTGCAGGGTGACTGAATAATTGGAATGTGCTGCCTTCAGAATGTCATATATCTTCATGTAATGCGGCATACCTATGAACGTTCCCATTTGCTCCTTCCCACTCTTCAAGACGCCAATCTTTTCTCCCTTTTCTTTTGACTTTTGTTCCGACAGGATCTTCTTCTTAGGCGACAACGTTTGTGTGGACAAAGATGGCAATACGGGCTTAGCACTTGCCTGCACTACCTGCACTTCATCGATGACATGGACGAAGATATTGAGAACTCTCGTGATGTGTGTCAATAGTAATTCCATGTATTTGTCCTTATACATACTCCAAAGTTTCATCGGGTCACTGCCAGTCTTAAAATTGCAAACGGCTAATCCAGAAGCCAAATTACCGGCGAGGAGAATCAAGTGTCGATGTGTGGATAAATCTAAACTAATGGTCGATGATGTTAACAGTGGCAATGCCAATGATAAGAGACTGCTGCACACCGGAGAGGAAATCATTTCATTTACGAAACTAATATCATTGGCATCCGATCGATCGCTATTCTTCTTAGATTTTTTCAGCAATGTCTTTGATAAAATACAGTCCCATCCTCTGACATAAACCGTAGTGGGATAAGTCTCGCTCAAACAAAAAAGAGTTTCACAACAGCCGTATATTAAATATTTTGAAGAATGCACCGTTAGTATTTCCGTTAGAATGTTAACTATACGGGATAAAGAGTATTCCAGACTAGAATCGTAATTCGTCTCGTTTTGATGATTCAGAAATACAAAGGGCTTGATAAATGTATTTACAAATGGCTTATGTTTATCTTGATAGGACGATAGTTCTGAGATACTTGATGTTACCACACTTAAAAACTGTTGAGTATATTGTGTAGCCTTCCTTGTAACAGTATCTTCTTGAGGGTGTCGAAAATACAAACATGGGATACTCCTATAATAAAAGAAATATAAAATGATATTCGAATAAATAATAAAATTGCATAATTAGAAATGTATCTTACTTAACAATCGCATCTGACGCAGCATGTCTCACTCTTTGGTCCTGATCACCTAATAACGCTATTATAACATCGATAAAGTGCTCTTGAAATAACGATTGTCTCGTTATGTGTTCTATTGTAATATACGATAATTTGCTCAATAAGTCAGCTAATTTTACTTTCACAAGAAAATATGGATTTTTCACAAGTTTTGGCAACGCAGTTAAGATGGTAAGACCATATTCGTTGTTGATGGAATCTAGTAACTCTGGCAAACAGAGGTTCAACGCGTCCAACGTTTGGCGGCAAGTTGTCGCGGAATCATCGTTCAAGCCCTATACATTCGACAGAAACAGATGTAAGTTAAAAACTCTCGAGACTGGTGTCGTCCTTTATAAAACGTATAAACTCACTTTTAAAAGTAATTTTATTGCATCTTCCAATAATATATTTCTACGTCCTTGTTGAGTCATACACTCCATTTCAAAGTTCCGGAAGGAACCGCCATACTGAACAAATATAGACTTTAAAAAGATTCCAATTACCATCGTTATATTACCCCTGATCTGGGGATCTGGGTGATTGGCAAATAGCAAAATGTCTGCAATCAATTGGTTTGTTTCATTGCAGCTTGATTCTTTGGCCACGGTCATTGTAAACAAGTGTGGATAAAGTTTGAGAATGTAACCCACGCATGTCAGAGCGAGAGCTTTTACACTAACACGAAATAACTTGTCCGATATCAATTGCCCGGATTTGCCAGCCAATAAAAAGGACGACACCAAGTAACGGCAACAAAACTTAACGGGCATATCCGAGTCTGTGAAACTTCCAATGTCCACTTCGTACAATGCGAAATCCAGGGAGGACTTCTTAGGGGAAGCGAACGATAGAGTGTTTTCTTCTGAGTAATCTTCCTCCTTTGAATGTTCACTTTGCAAGCTTGGATAAGGTGTTTTCTCGGATTTTTCCATCTCGCTTTCGATATCACTGCATTCCTCCGCAATCGAATCTAAAACATTGAAAGCTAATAAACTGAAAGCTAATAAACAAAATTACGCAAGTTATCGAATTCATATTTCATGTTCGTTCTTACTGTCAGTGGTTTCGATTTTCAAATGGCAATAACTTTCTAATATCCTTTCTTTCGTCTCTGTAACGTCGCTCATACATTCATTCTGTGTTTGTAAATTACACGTGATTGGCAATGTCGTTTCCGCATCTGCGATCCATTCTGCATTCGGAGTAATCTCCGGAATATCAGGCTCGTGCAAGTTTAAAATAGAATCTGAATTTGCACCACAAGCAGTACTCGCGCTGGAAAGACTTGTGTGACCCAGCGAGAGAACGCATGCATTTTGATTTAATATTATTCTGCTTTGTGTTATGCCTTCTGACGACAATAAAACAGATACTAATGGCTTTGGAGGCATTTTTAGAAGTTGTGTCAAAGTCTCTAAAGCTGCGTTTACAATATTATGATCAGAATGCCATTTTGTATAGTGCAAACACAATTCATAAATGTGTAACAGACTATCTATCTGTTGTGTTTCAACATCTTGAGGCTCCGAAGGTTTACATATGTAAGGTAAAATCACTCTGAGGCATCCAAAGATGCCTATAACAGTAGAGGAATGATCCTCGACGTTTCTTCCTAATGTTGTTACATCTGATAAGATATACACTATTAATAAACGAATGTTTTTGCATTACGAATGTTAGGCAACGTATCGTAATTATTTAACGTACCTAATATATAATCCAACACATAATTAAAAAAAACCTGTGGTTTTCTGCAATTTATACACGTTGTCAGAATCATACTAGCTGCTGCCCTACGAAAAACTGCCTGAGGAGAGGAAATATTTTCAAAGAACGCTCTCAACAAATTCTGAAAAAACAAGATTTAATTTTTCCCAAGTTTATGGAAATAGCTTTTAATGTATATAATTGTGATAATGTCAAAACGCTTACCTTGACGTCCTTATCTGTCATGAATGGTCCTAATACTTTAAAGATTAATGGTAATGATTGCGATAATGTTTCAATTACAGTATCCTCTGATCGATGCGCAATAATCACTATACATGGGATTAAATTTGATACATAAGCTTTGCCCCTTGAAGGACGTATCATGTGACTTAGCAAACCAAATCTCCAAAGAGCAGCCCTCAGTATGCGTGCAGGTCCGTTTCTTTTTATTTCATTATAAAGCTCTATCTGAATTTTAACGATATTACTATCGACCATCGCCTAGCAAAAAACATTTATTGAATTGCTTTTAAATATTGATTTTCTTAATGTATTTATGTTTTTATGTTTTATTTATGAATACCTATAACTTTTCTGGCTAATGATAAATTCAGTCATTTGTACTACATGTGAGTGTACACTAAAGGCTACTTTATATAAAGTAAATAGAGTAGCATGTAATTAATTTTAACAATAAAATAATATAATTCTGTTAAATAATGGAACAATATTATTTTTAAGCATTTAATCGTATCAAACATTTATATGCTGTTAATATTTAACTTTGCTAATTTAATAGCTTCTAGTAAAATAATTTCTAATATATGCTAATCTAGTCCACATCAATTAAACTTAACATAACATTATTATAATTTTGCTCAACAATAACTATTATGTAACACCACGTTTTATATTACATTTATATTGTTGAATGTAAAATTATAATATTAATATTATATTACTTTTTGTTACTATTAGTTTGTGTTGATTAGAAATTAAATGTAATACAAGGGTAATAAATTTGCTATAATAATAGCCCTAAAATAATAATTGTACCCTGATAATTTTATTAAGAGATTCATCTGCGACCATCCTGACATCAGACTCATCATCATTACAGAGTGCCAACAAGGTTTCAATTGTGGCACTGAGAATCTGTGGAAATTTGGTATTCTGTCTGACAGTAGGCGAACATATTCCTTCGACGATGATGGTACAGCATGACACCTTCTCCTTCCTACTATTGAAGCATTTGCATTTATTAAGGAACAGAAATCGTCATTAAGGAAGTGTTTACCGTTCATACCTTGCTCCAGGATCCGACGGAGTGTCCAACTCTAGTAACCCATTCAGCGTTTCCACGGCCTTCAATACACCGTTTAGATGAGCCATGCTGGATCTTCGAATGACCTTCGCTTCTTCGAAGGACTACCTCAAGTAATCGTGCGACTAGTGAATAACATTCTGCCGCTTCCTGACCAAAAATCTACGATAGATCGTGACACACTCACATCACAAACTACATCGCTACATGCTGGCCAATGCTGGCTAATGGTCAATCCATTGAACCATGAACATTGTAAGTGCAGATTGGTGCAGATTGGTGCAGATGCAGAATGTAGACTGTGCATTTTTAGAGTAGTATTATATACTACTATTCTATACTAGAATACATAGAGGCTGCATTTGAAAATACACATCATTAATTTATCTTTGTTTAACATTCGCTGAGTAACAAAGGCAAAATATTACTTGGAGGCACTCGATGTGCATTCCCGAACGCAACTGTGGTGGTTTGAGCGCGTTCAAGTCTGCCAACTCTGTTGTGGGGGACAAGAATGCCACCTGTTGGGTGAGATTCAGCCGCGAATCGTTACTTGTTCTTGTGGCGCCGAAAAAACAGCAGTATCAAAATTTGTCAATTATCGGCAATAAAATGTTCATGTGATTGTTTCGTTTTTCCAATCACATGAACGTAACAAAGAAATAAAGTACAAAAAGCTCAGCTAAGAACAAATCTATTAATATTTTTAAATTAAACTTTACTTCGAATGCTTGAAATAAGAATCTTTTTTTATAATTCGACTGTTTTCATTTTTAACGTTATTTTTAAAGTCACATTAATTTATCTTTGTCGTCTTTGTAAGCTACAACATTACGCCCGTAATATATACTCATAATACTGAGAATGATCACTGCTTTTCAAGAATGGAGAGGAAAAATTTCTTTCCAAATAATTAATTAGAGAATAAAAGTATCCATATATTCTTCGTGTACATGACGACGATCAAACTGAACGTGCACTCGCCGTTGAATTAATATAAACAATAATAAAACTTTATTTGCCACAATCAATACTATCTAACCATGTTAAATTATATACACCATTTTTTTCAAACTACTAGCACAACGCGTGATATACAATAAATACTTTTCTTGCCATTTTAAATGCTAACAAGATGTAAAATACAATTTAACTTATATCTTAGTTTTAAATTATACACAGGAAGTGCATGCAAACTTTTCACTTGTAGAAATATAGATATATGTATATATATTTTACGTAACTCTAATATTAATCTTTATTCTTAAACTTATTTTTAAATATAACTATTTACCAAACCCATATTTTATTGATGAATAAAGCTATTAATAAATCGATGCGCTGCAGTGTCAAACACTACTCAACGCGGAAGTACGCAAATATTTGCGAATGTAATATCTTAGAGTAACAGTATTCATAAAAGCCAATTCTTTAAAAGTCTGAAAATATTATAAATTAAATAGAATTATATTGATCAACATCTCAAGACATTACTTAAGACGATAAAAAAAAAAAAAAAAAAAAAAAAAAAAAAAAAAAAAAATATCTATGAATACTGATTCTTTTGAATTTTTGTAATAGAACTTTACAATGCTAAAATCCATCACAAAAAATTTCATATACTTGTTATTTTCATCTGTGCATAAACTTAGAGATACATAAACTTAGAGATACACGCGTTATGCTCAGTTTTCCGATATTACTTCAGCAATTAAAACTTTTACGTGAAAAAAAAAAAAAAAAAATGCAATTTGTTTCATCGAGACAATCGCGAGTGAGAGAAAGACCTCTGAATCGGTATACCACATTTTCCATCATTTATGATAATAATTACATTTCTGATACAATTACATATTAAAAGTGTAACATTAATGTAACTATATCTTTAGTGCTTGGTCAGAATTAACGAGCGCCATTCGCAAACTTATTATTCCGAAATGTATGTCTTTGTATGATCTTTCTCTCCTCTATCTGTCCTCTTCTCTCTCCCACAATTCGGTGGCTGTTTCTTAATTCGCAATTCTGCATAAACGTGAGAGGATTTAAATTCCATAAAGCAGACTTAAAACTAAACTTCAAATGCAACGTCAGCTTTATCATATCGCCGTACTCGTGCGGGTACAGGCGCGTACAGTCGCGTGTTGTACAGCGAAATAGTAATTCAACAAGAATCTACAATGGAATATGTATGTTGTTACATGCCACTGATTCGGCTTAGCGTTTTTTGGTAGAAAATCTTTTGTACATATATAAAAACATTAAAAGACACAAGCGTCAGCACGCTGATCGGCGAACTGGACGCCCAAATAAAGTCTTCACATAGTATAATCACCAGCTTTTTCGGAAATGTGTTTTATATATTTCCAATGCAATATTAAAAGCCAGCATTTCGCTTCTTTATCCGGTTACCGTTACCAAGTAATAAAATATTCGGCCGAATGTCCAGAAATATATTCATGAGCGATAATTTCAAAGATTTCTGTAACAACAGCGTGTGCGTAGTGTGCTCCTGTAACAGTTCTGCCTCCAACATACGATCATGCGGTCAATCGCTCTTTGATTTTTCGGCAGCCTCGTTACAATCCGCTTTTTTCTCTGCATCATAGCTTTCTGATTTTGTTTCAGTCTCCCGTTGGCTACCCTCGTCCTCTTCGTCGGAGTAATTTGTCGGTGCTTCGCCAGGCTTTAATAATTTTCCAACGTAATCATATCTCTCTGTAATTAAAGCAAACGTTGTATTTATAATGTTATCGTTCTTCTAAATAATTTATTTACGTGTCTTTATATATTATATTTTAAACATCTGTAAATTAAAACGCCCATAACAAAAGCCTTGAATCGTGTTCTCATTCATTATTTATGAGATTCATTATTCAAAGATTTAATATTGACTTAAAAATAGAATACATTATCTCATATATCATAGGAGCAATGAAAATATCACACTAAAAAGAATATTTATATAGAATTTAAAGTCTATATCTTATATAATAAGTTATTGCAGTATACGGTATATTTGATTTGAATGCTCTGCTTATTATCATCATTCTGCCTTGAGCATTCATTAAATACAAAATAAGAATGGAAGTGCTGAAAGGAACTCAAATTAAATGCAGCTTATTTCATTTTAGAATGTATGCTCTATATAGATAACACTTCCAAAGAAAGTGTTTTACTAAGAATTAATATTAAAATAAAATCGAATTCTATATTTACTCCTTACATATATAAATTATGTAAATATATTAATGCAGTGCAGTATTACGGAATAATGCTTTATCGTTTATTTATTAATGTTGAAAGAACTATTGCTTATTCATGCACGAATTTGTTTACCTTTAAATTGTTCTTCCCACTCCTTGATAGAATTCATTTCTGTAGTATTCAGATCACTTAGATCGTCATATTTATCCGTCGCAGCGACTACTTCAAACCTCGCGAGTGCTCTACTGGCATCTCGACCACCAAACGCTTCATAGGGTCCACCTATAGGAATAGAAATATTTAGTCTGTGGAGTTTTGAGACATTAAATAGAAAATATAGATGGATTTGTGTGGAAATTGAAATTTATAAATCAAGTCTCCTCCTTCTACTAACAATAATTAATTTAAAAATAGAATTCCATATTCATTTCTTACATGTATAAATTATATAATCAGTGCATTGTTACAAAGTAGCTCTAAGTCACATTTCTTTCTCTGTTGGAAGAACTATTATTGAAAACGCATAATTTGAATTGTGCATAAACTGAAGTAAATAAATTTTTCTTCGTAAGGCCCATCTATAGAAAATGTATATTAAGCATAAGATTTTCGAAGGATGTTTATGCACATCACGTACAATCTCTTTTGACTAAAGGCACATAACCGATTGGATCTTTACATATTGTCTGCGTTCAACGGAAAAAGCAGCTTTGCAAGTATTGTAAAATTCATTAATATGACTGCATTTAGCAAATTACTTATTTTACAACTGGTGAAAGTTTTCTTCATTCCAATTGGATATTTTTACATTGAGAGGAATATATTCTATCTAATGAATCTATCTAATAAAGAAAAACTACCAACAGTAGTAGAATATACATTCTGTTGAACTTATCAATGGTTATGTTCAGTAAAAAAAAGCAGTTTTGCAAATATAGTAAAATTCTTTAATACAATTGATTCTTGCCTTTGGTTCCTTATGAATCTAAATGTACAAAATAATCATATTAAAGAATTTTAAAACAAAGCTGTTGCAAAGTTGTTTTCTCTGCTGAATGCAGCTATTAATTCATACATTTAAATCCAGTAACGAACCAAGAATCTATCATATCATTGAAGAACTTTATAACTGTGTAACTGAGTTGAACACAGCCTTATCTTTATTAGAAATCAAAGAGTATGTAAAATAAGGAGAACAAGTGTGCGACATTCCTTCGTGTGCTAATTCAAATAATTTCAGCTGCAATCGCTCATCGACTTTATGACTTTGCTCGGTGGGCTTAGATTCCGAAAATAATTTTCCAGTTCTCGAGTTTCGTCAACCATAGGCCTATTCTTTCAGCTGAACTCTTTCACATTCACCTTTCTTCCTTTTTCTTCATAATGTAGAAAGATGAATCGTGAAAAAAAAATCTTCTTACATCCATTCGTGCTACATACTTAGACGCGAGACCTTCTCGCCAGGCTATACGTCACGGAACATGATAAACCGCTATCGTTAACTTAGTATCGCGGCGCAATTGGAGAAGCACAATTGGTCGTGACGATCGCGAGACTTTCACGATTTTATTTCTGTTCGTGTGGAGTATGATATCATCGGACACTCCTACAGACTAATAACAAAACGGCTAATGAAGTCCGAGAGAAAAAGAAATAAACAGATTGAAAAAAATGAAAATGAAAGAGAAGGGAAGAGGAAGAAACGGAAAATTAAATCATGATTAGGAGGGGGAGAGAAAAAAAAACATCATTCGATCGCCAACAAGCGCGATAGAGATCGACGGGTGAAGGAGAATTGATCCGTTGATGCGAAATGCCCCGGCGACAACTCACCAGGGCCGTAGAACCTGGCGCCTCTGGTGACGTCGTACACGCTGCCGTTGACGGCGACGAGTATCCGGCCGTCCGGGCCTTTTCCGTCGTACTTGGTCAGCTCCTCGATCGTGAAATCGCGGCGTAGCTTCGGCAGCTTCTTCACTTCCTGTATAGTCTCCTCGGGCCGGGTGCGGCTCTTGACGATCTTATACACCAGAATAGCGATCACGCCCACGAGGGCGAGGTTCAGTGGATTCTTGACGATCTCGGCAATAAAGTCCGACAGGAACTGGGACTGTTGTTGCTGCTGTTCCGGGGTCGTGGCGGCCGGCGAGCCGCTCTTCTCGGCCATCTTGACCAAAACCAAACTGATTGACCGATCTGGGTCTATCAGTGGGCGAGCGAGGAGTGCAGAGGAGTGCCGCCGAGGAAGACGAGAGGTTACGATCAACCGCGCCGGAAAAAAGAGATCGAAATGCGGTGTGCGCGCTCCCGAGACTCCGAACTCCGAACTTCTATACGTCCGTACGCGCGATGATACGCGATGCGTATACGTGCCGACGAGTACAATAGAACAGAGGGCGACAGAGAGAAAGAGAGAGAAAGTACACCGGGAAGCGGGGTGGCGGGAAAACGGAGACGATCGTCGGAAATTCGCGGACTAATATCGGCCGACTAGGCGCCGCTCACCGACAAGAATGACGACGACTCGAATGTCTCGAACTCGGCGCACGCGACGATAATCATACGAACGATGCGTACCGGTGCGCCGTGCGCGTTACGTAGTTTCCTTACCCCTCTCGCCTTCCCGTTTCTCTCCTTTTCCTCCGCCCATGTGGCATCAGGCATGTGGCGTATGCGGTACGAGTGGCGCAGAGAGACGAGACGAGAGTCGCCTTTGCTCGTCTTCTACGTGGCTGTACCGTGGTGGTGCATTGCAGCAGGGCCGTACGCAATGGAGATTATAGATTTGTTTCTCTTTTAGCTCAACTTCTAGCACGGTTCATCTTTCCACTCCAACGTGGAGAGAAAAGGAAGAAAGATAAACCGTGCAAGAACTTTAGCTAAAAAGAACAGACCTTGTAGTGGAGATTTTGTCAAAATCTCACAAGAGAAAAAAAGATGCTTTCTAAATGAATTAAATTTCTCAAAAATGAAATCTACTCACACTTAAAATTAAAAATTGAGCTCTTTCCAAGATCGGCTCAATTTTCACTCTATAGTATGAGATTTTACTCCAAAGACTTTAGAGTATATAATTTTTCCCTGTATATATATTATCTCATTATTCTAACTAGTACTGTGTTTCACTCTACAATTTTAATTAAGATAATAAAGTAAGTTAAAGTGAAATAGTATATTGATGGTTTACTTAAATCGACTATCTGAAATATCTCTTTTTGATAATACAAAAAAATGTTTCAAATGAAAGTGGAAGAATTTCAAGAAGTACATATTTTGGTTTTTTTTAGATGGAGGCATCAAAAAAATATGAAGGTTAGCTCTTTTTTAAATGAAATTATGATATGATTTTTTTTTACACAATATGATTCCTCTAATTATTCTGCATATAAAAGTATTAAGATAATATCAAAAAATCAATAGTTGACGAGATATTTTAAAAACACAAAGTGTAAAATATCTCGTAAACTATTAGTTTTTTGATATTACTACATTAATATTTTTATATGCAGAATAATTAGAGGAATTATATTGTGTAAAAAAAAGTCATACAATTCCACTTAAAAAAGTGAAGGTGACCTTCATATCTTTTCGACGCCTCCACCTAGAAAAAAAAAACAATGAATAAAATACGTTCAACATGAATAAAATACGTTCCCCTCGAAACCGTTCCAATTTCGCTTGAAACATTTTTTTGTATCATCAAAAATAAGCAAAATATTCAAGATGTTCGATTTAAATGGAGATTAATCCTGTTTATAAGAAGAAATTATATCTTTCTATAGTAGAATTTTGACAAAATTCTTTGTAGCCGAGCTCTGATACGGTTCCAAGTTCCAAGGACGATCGCGAGGAATGACAAGAAAGGCTGAAAAGATTTGTTCACATTGCTCTTCTTAAGCAGAACACAAGTCATCATGACAGCAAAAAAACATGACAATGTACTCCAAAATACTAAAAGTCACTTTTCAATCATTTTACGATTTATGATTCATTTTTAACGTTATTTTTTGTACTTGTTCTAGTTGGGTTCTTATACTTGAAATTTTCTTTTTTAACGTTAGAATATAAAATTTATCTCGTTTCAAGTATAAATATTTTTAAACATTTCAAAGGCAATGCCAATGAATCTACTTTTGTATGTCGCAGTCCGTATGACTTGTCGATTTGTATAAAAATTAGTTTTATAATTAGACCATAAATGAAACTTATAAATTAATTTATGAAATATAAATTAGTTTGCCGATTAATTCTTTGATTCATTAATTATATTTCACTAATTCGTTAATCAGTTCTAATTCCTTCTCTTCATCTCTTTCTATCTTCATCTATTCTTGTTTTTTAACTTTTTTTTCAATTTTAATAAACCATGTAGCTCACGACCGTAAGTTTTGCGATTCCTGCTTAGAGAATTTGTTATTAACAATTATTAATGTTAAGCACATTAATATATGTGTGTCATGATACTAGTAATATGGTATAATGTAACAAAAATGTAACAAAAAACTGAAACTTTGCATTCTCATCGTTGACGTAACTGACATCAATGTACACGTAGGACGTCATAACATGAATCTTCGCAGCTCCATAATTCAGCTTTTCGGGCATTCATTTCGACATTTCACTAAAATTTTTTTCCATTTAAAGTTTAAAGGAACTTCAAAATGTTTCCAGTCCAGATAAATTGAAACATCTATGTTATAATTTTGCATTCAACGATATAATAATCCCGTTTTCATTAATATAGATTAACTTCAATCTCGATTCAATTTATTCTTCATTTTTTTTAAATGCTTGCACCTAGAAAAATATAAAGACTAAATTGAATTAAAATTAATTTACATTGGTGGAACCGTGAATATATTATTTAAAAAATGAAAAATAAAGCTGAGATTAAAGTTAAATCTATATTGATTAAATCTATATTAGTAGAAATAATAATCTATATTGGTATAAATATATGTAATAATACAAATATGATGTTACATAATAGTTATATTGTTGAATGTTGTACTCTGGCGAAAATAAAAATCGGTGCGTCAAATGTAACAAAAAAGTAAATTAAATTTTTAAGGCCCAATTCCATAATTCACGGTTAACTCTTAACCAAAGTTCAACTCATTATCTCTTTTCAATTCTATAATTGGAAAGAGATGAGAAAGTTAAACCTCAATTAAGAGTTAACCGTAAGTTGTGAAAATGAGCCTAAGAGGCGAAAATTGAGACAATGAAAGATAAAAGAACGTTCAAATTTCGTTTATGCTTCTTTTTATTCTGTTTCCTTAGTTATATTTGATATTTAATTTATATTTCGATTTTTATTTTCGCCAGGGGAATTATAACATTGATGTTATCTTTAGTTGATATTGACTGGGTTGGTTATCGTATAATTGTATAATCATATCAACATCGAAGTATATATAATCTATACTTCTGTATAGTTGTACCCATTTGCCTTTCCACGAAGCCTAGAATGCCGAGTGTACCGTTTCTCACTTCCTCTCTCCTTGTCGAGCGAGAAACAGTTATGTCGCGACAGGAAAAAAAAAGATTACGAATCTCGATTGAGAAATTATCGTTTTTCTATTGTTCTATATAAAATTTCATATCAATAAAATTATATGTTTACGAGAATCAAGTACAATCAAAAATTTTCTCGTCTTGTTATCACACGTAGACTTTGTTTCATGGTTTTCGGTCATATATTGTCAGATATTTACATCCAGTAATTTACGAGAAGAAAAACGAAATAATTATGCGCGTCGATTCTTTAAAGTCATGCTACGCAAAGTCACGTGCTCTAGATATATCCCCCATGCATCTGCGCTGTCGCGATTAGGTTAGTCCCACTGCAATTATGACGGTCACGGGACCGAACGAATACTATTATGATTATAATAACATCCTCGATTTACTTTTACTCTCTTTTTTTTTACTTTACGTAACGCAAAACAACTCGCGAACTGGCAACTTTATCCATCTTAAAATTCTTATTGCAGATCGTATTTCCATACACAGCATAAAATATTTTATGTAAATTATTTTTTGGAATATTTCAATGAGAAGAAATATTACAGAAATATTTTGTAAACATTTGTAAAATATTTTAAAATATTGCACTAAAATATTTTACAAAAATATTTTAGAAATATTATACAAATATTATAAGAACAAGAATATTTCAAAACTTTAATTTCCTAGATATATTTGTATTTTAAACATTTTTCATGAAAAATTTTTGAAATATTTCTAATCTTGTAATAAAGTATTTTAGAAATATTTGTAAAATATTCACGCTTTGTGGGCAGTAATCACAATCGTTCTCTAGCAAAATAAATCACGAAAACATTCAAAATGACATTAAATAAATTATAAATGATTGAACTTTTGGTAAACGTTTTGGCATCAGTTTGATATTACAATTTGTGTTCTGCTTGGATTGATGCAATTTTATTCAAGATGTTATTCATTCTTGTCAATAATTGCTTTCCATTTACATCGATTCTTAGATAATTCTCACTTGTGAGAATTATCATAACTCAGTTGAATTCCTTTTATATTCTGACAAGTGAGATTTAATTGAGTTTTTGCCTATAATCTGCACAAGATCGAAACCGTATGCTTTAGTGAGTCTCGTAAACTTACTTTAAAAGTCAGGTTCGAACCTGTGTTGTCATGTATGATAACTTTTTATCAAACTAAGCAAATAATAACGTCATTAAGTATGAAATTTTCAGTTCATTTCAGACTCAGTTTCACTTGTGTATAAATGGAAAGCAATTAATATCTACCGAATCTATCTAAGCAGACTATTTACGTTTAACAAACATTTAGCTAAAATGTTTCTAATGGTATATAAAAATATTAAATGGACGTGTTAAATATACATTTGTTATAAAATCATCTAAAGTTCAGCGTGCGCACGTTTAAAAACAGCATTTTGAATGATTTTTATAGTTTAAAAAAATGTTAAATAGACATTACAAATGTCTTAAGCCTGTAGACTTATTTTCAGTCTTATCTCTTATCAATTTTATTCTTCTAATTCTTAGAACTAGAAAAAAAATAAAAAGCTAAATTGAGATTAAAGTTAATCTACACACACGCACGCACGCACGCACGCACGCACGCACGCACGCACGCACGCACGCACGCACGCACGCACGCACGCACGCACGCACGCACGCACGCACGCACGCACGCACACACATTAGTAGAAATTACACATTTAAACAATCTCTTCCTTTAATTTTTCTCAAAATGAAGTTTTTTTTATCGCTGCACTGCAGGACTTTTCCTTTTGCCAAATTTCAAACAAATACCTATTTTATTTTAAGTAGCAGAGAGTGTACATCAAATTTAATTCAACTATAAATATAATTTTCGGTTATAAAAATATAAACAAATAAAACTGGATTGTTCTTTACAAGTTCCTTTCGTCTTTCATTTTTTTCTTGCAGCATCCATTTGTATCTATCTTGTTTCAAATAAAAAACTGTGAAGAACAAATCTAATATTTTGTTTATACAGATTTGTTCAATATATCATATATTAGAATCAGTCATTTTATTTATGGCAATCATCTACATTAAAACGCAGTTGCG